AAACAGGTTCTGTTTTTAGAACCTGAACCTGGTTGTTGTTTTCCCAGGTTGGAAAAACAGAACCAGAGGTTGTTTACCAACCTACCACCTGCTATTTTGTCCAGCCAGGTTGGTTCTGTTGCTTGGAATTATTTGGGATCATCCCTGGTTGTTCCCAGGTTGATTCCCAAGGTCCTTGCTAGCTAGAACTATTTAATCCTTCTCTGTTTGTACCTGAATATAGTCAATTGATTCATGCGAATTCCTTCCTCGCTGGAATTTCGTTTCTACGCGGTTCGTTGGCGGAATGCTACCCGAGTCAACGCTAGTACGCTAGCACTCTAATGCTAGGCAAACACCGTCTGAGCCATAACTTCGTAATGGCATAACTTTTCGCGAGGCAACTTGGCTCATTTTAAAGCTCTTGGAGCGAGCTTCGATATAGCGAATTCTCAGCTTAATCCGATCGACGGTCTGCACGGCACGCTGCGCGACGTTCAAGGTGCTCTTGCTGTTTTGACTAAGTCCTTCTTGATCCCTCTCTCTACAAACTCGGACCCGAGGATAGGGGCTGGTCTTCTACCAGGCACCCAGGGACCCTTGGAGGTGACCCCGAGGAGAGGTTTTAAGTTTGATTAAGTCCTAATAGCTTGAGTTTATTAGGCCCTTACACTAACAAGATCTGGAGGATGTGTCCAGTTGGTGAAGTTTACAATGGCGTCGCTGTCGGCCGTGCCAAGATCAGGAACGAAGTCAAGAACGAAGACGTTGTTCTTGAGGACCGCCTTCCCGATGTAGAGGCCTCCTCTCCCGTGGTACAGCTTGAACTCCTGAGTTGTGCTGTCTGCTTCAAGATGAATACCCTTCGCCATCAACTGGCTGACGCTCAGTAAGTTGTAGCCGAGGCCTTCTGCAATTAAAACCTTGGACATTTGTAGGATGACGTTCGTCTGTCGTGACTGAAGTTGTACTATGCCTTGTCGTCGTGTGCGCAGGTTCTGATTGTTGGCGACGGTGATGACGACTTCTCGTTGAAGCTGGTACTCTCGTTGCACGAAGCGTCCTGAAGAACACATGTGCTGTCCGCAGCAACTGTCCAGGTACCACGTGTCCTTCCCGGATGGTTCGCTTTGGGCGATGGCGGCGTATGTCGGATTCGGTTGAAGTGACTCGCGGCGAGGTGTCGTTTCGTCGAGTTGTTCTTCTGGTGAGTAGTACGGTGGTGATTCCGTGACGCAAGAGTCACTCAGTCTTGCCATGCAGCTGACGATGTTTCTTGCTCCTTGTGCAGGTTGTCCCGTTGAGGCTGTTGAAGCTTGAATTTGAGTCGTTGGGTTCGCCTGTGTTGATGCGACTTGATTGCTTGACGGTCGCAGCTGTCGCTGCGGAGTCGTTGACTGTTGACGATTCGGGCAGTGCGTGCGTGGGTGCCCTGAAGTTTTGCAGATGTGGCAGAAGGGAGGTACGGGTTTTGGTTGTTGTCGGTTGTTGTTGTTGTTGTAGCGTCGCTGGGTGTGAAAATCAAATTCTGATGTTGTTGTCTTCTTCCTGTGTCGTTCTTCTTGCAGGTCCATGTCCTGCTGCTCGGCGTGGATTTCGGCGCAGAGTGCTGCTTCAGAGATTCTGCCGTGGGCTCGGAGGATAGCTTTGGTGGCGCGCCATTGAGGACCGAGGCCGCCGATGATGACTGTCACGAAGGCGTCTTCAGAAATCGATCCTCCACATCGAAGAAGCTTGTCGCGCAGTTCGCGACATCGACTGATATATGCCATTCCTTTCTCTCCTGGTTTCATTTCAACTGTTGTCAACTGCGCCATTAACCTGCTCTGGTTTACGCTGTCTGTTGCTTGATACAGGGTCATCAGGTGGCTGTACGCGAGCTCCGCCGAGTTGCCGAAGGCCCGGTAAGACCGAATGTTCTGCTGCTGAGTCGGTGTGACGTTTCTCAGTAGAATCGTGTACGCCATCATTGACTGATAGGTGTACTGCTGTTTCTCATACTGTGTGCCGTTTGCTGGGTATTGCAGGGACCCGTCGAAGAAGCCAAGTATTTGCAGGGACCCGCTAGCACTCTAATGCTAGGCAAACACCGTCTGAGCCATAACTTCGTAATGGCAGAACTTTTCGCGAGGCAACTTGGCTCATTTTAAAGCTCTTGGAGCGAGCTTCGATATAGCGAATTCTCAGCTTAATCCGATCGACGGTCTGCACGGCACGCTGCGCGACGTTCAAGGTGCTCTTGCTGTTTTGACTAAGTCCTTCTTGATCCCTCTCTCTACAAACTCGGACCCGAGGATAGGGGCTGGTCTTCTACCAGGCACCCAGGGACCCTTGGAGGTGACCCCGAGGAGAGGTTTTAAGTTTGATTAAGTCCTAATAGCTTGAGTTTATTAGGCCCTTACACTAACAAGATCTGGAGGATGTGTCCAGTTGGTGAAGTTTACAATGGCGTCGCTGTCGGCCGTGCCAAGATCAGGAACGAAGTCAAGAACGAAGACGTTGTTCTTGAGGACCGCCTTCCCGATGTAGAGGCCTCCTCTCCCGTGGTACAGCTTGAACTCCTGAGTTGTGCTGTCTGCTTCAAGATGAATACCCTTCGCCATCAACTGGCTGACGCTCAGTAAGTTGTAGCCGAGGCCTTCTGCAATTAAAACCTTGGACATTTGTAGGATGACGTTCGTCTGTCGTGACTGAAGTTGTACTATGCCTTGTCGTCGTGTGCGCAGGTTCTGATTGTTGGCGACGGTGATGACGACTTCTCGTTGAAGCTGGTACTCTCGTTGCACGAAGCGTCCTGAAGAACACATGTGCTGTCCGCAGCAACTGTCCAGGTACCACGTGTCCTTCCCGGATGGTTCGCTTTGGGCGATGGCGGCGTATGTCGGATTCGGTTGAAGTGACTCGCGGCGAGGTGTCGTTTCGTCGAGTTGTTCTTCTGGTGAGTAGTACGGTGGTGATTCCGTGACGCAAGAGTCACTCAGTCTTGCCATGCAGCTGACGATGTTTCTTGCTCCTTGTGCAGGTTGTCCCGTTGAGGCTGTTGAAGCTTGAATTTGAGTCGTTGGGTTCGCCTGTGTTGATGCGACTTGATTGCTTGACGGTCGCAGCTGTCGCTGCGGAGTCGTTGACTGTTGACGATTCGGGCAGTGCGTGCGCGGGTGCCCTGAAGTTTTGCAGATGTGGCAGAAGGGAGGTACGGGTTTTGGTTGTTGTCGGTTGTTGTTGTTGTTGTAGCGTCGCTGGGTGTGAAAATCAAATTCTGATGTTGTTGTCTTCTTCCTGTGTCGTTCTTCTTGCAGGTCCATGTCCTGCTGCTCGGCGTGGATTTCGGCGCAGAGTGCTGCTTCAGAGATTCTGCCGTGGGCTCGGAGGATAGCTTTGGTGGCGCGCCATTGAGGACCGAGGCCGCCGATGATGACTGTCACGAAGGCGTCTTCAGAAATCGATCCTCCACATCGAAGAAGCTTGTCGCGCAGTTCGCGACATCGACTGATATATGCCATTCCTTTCTCTCCTGGTTTCATTTCAACTGTTGTCAACTGCGCCATTAACCTGCTCTGGTTTACGCTGTCTGTTGCTTGATACAGGGTCATCAGGTGGCTGTACGCGAGCTCCGCCGAGTTGCCGAAGGCCCGGTAAGACCGAATGTTCTGCTGCTGAGTCGGTGTGACGTTTCTCAGTAGAATCGTGTACGCCATCATTGACTGATAGGTGTACTGCTGTTTCTCATACTGTGTGCCGTTTGCTGGGTATTGCAGGGACCCGTCGAAGAAGCCAAGTATTTGCGTGCCTTCCATCATCAACTCGAACTCGAATGACCAGGTGAAGAAGTCCTTTCCGTCGAAAGGTCTTGAGGTTTGCAGCTTCAGAATGTGTGCGAACTGTGATTGAACTTGTAATGCGTCCAGTGGTTTGTCTTGTCCAGGTGAAGGCTGCGGCATGAAGCTGATTGACCCGCGCTCGTACGGGGCGAAGGTAGGTTGCTGCTGTTGATTTCCGCGCGCATATGACGACCCGTCAAGACTCATTGGGGTCGCTCCGTTGTTGTTGCTATTGTGTGACTGCGCAGGTCCCGATTGCTGATGTTGTTCGTAGAACGACATGGAGAAGAATTTCTCCATCATGCTCTGGTCGAAGTCCGCAGGATGATTTGCGGGAGTCTCAGTAGATGTCACCCTTGGTCTTGTTGCCGTGCCCTCCTCTGTCTGCAGGCCAGAGGCAGGAGGTGGAGTAGGAGTAGTGCCAGGAGAACCGTTAGAGGAACTCCTTTCCTTCTGTGTTGCCATGTCTTGTAATGCGTTTGATGACTTGATAGTGGTAGAGTTTTCCTTGTGAGCTCTCATACCATGTTGGGCTGAGAAAAGCCCTTAGGATCTTTGCAAGGAAGAACTCTGGGTAGGATTGTAACATCGGAAGCTTTAATGAAAAGGTTGTGAACCACCTTGCGCTGGTATGTGAGGGCAAGATAGATTGATTATAGCAAAAAGATACAAAAATATATAATAGTACAAGGAAAACGAAAAGATACGATTGTAACTATTTTACTGTTGCTGTTGCGGTTCGATACAGTACGACTCGGGCAACTGCTCTGTAACGAGTCAGTTGTGTGTCCTTAACTGTCGCGCTGCACTTGTCAGGTCAAAGGTCGCTTGACCTTTGACTTTCGCGTAACCTCCAGCAACCTCTCAACCTCCGAGGGTTGACTCGCGGGTGCTTCGATAAGGTTTGCTTTACTTCTCGTGTGATGTTTCGACATGACAGAGCGCTTAAGATTTACTGTTTCCAACAAATCCCAGCCCAAAGCTAGTATTAGTACTCCCCCATTCCCTTGATAAAACCACCACCACGCCACCGCAGCATCCTGAAGAGGGAGTGAGGGCGGGGTTATATGCATGTGAATGGCAGCGCAATTGAACCTGCTGCCATGCTGAGTCTGCCTGCTGCAGGCGTAAACATTGCGAACTTGAGGTAGGTGGGTCTCCCAGAAGCACTATTGGTACGTGGGGCATTCCTAGTGCTATTTATGTGGACAGCAGCTGCCTCTCCAGCTGCAGCTTGTATTGGCGCATGCCCTCGATGAACCCCACAGCAGCATCCAGCAGAGTGGCTATGTGCGTACGATTGCTGAATCCCGCCCGGCCCTGCTGCCTCAGCAGCACCTCTGCTGGTATCGCTGCCTTGAGGGCCTCCAATCGCTCTCTGTGAGAAACACAGGGGTTGGCGGAAGGGACAAGAAGGAAAGGGGCAGCGCATGCATTAGGCTGGCTCTGCAAATTTAAACATGGTAATCGCTGTCTGAGAGACACACATGGGAGGAGGATTGGACAGGGCACAGCACGACAAGGACGAGGGAGCGAGGATGAACGAGGCTTGGTACTGTGCAGTGCAGACAGCATGGAAGCAAGGTGCTTACACACACATACCATTGTCACGACCTGGTCAACCAGAGTCAACAAGAGTCGACAAGAGGGAAGAACCCAGTCAGCAAGAGTGAAGAAGAGTGAACACAGCCGAGCCTTTTCAACCCACATCCACCGAACCGGATCTGAGCAGACCCTCACCAAACTCACGTGATTCTGGATCGCCGTTGCTTCTCCGTTGCACTCTTCCCCGTGATCTGTCTCGCCCCTGCTGCTGCAAGAGCCCCTGCGTGTCCCATACCAACCTTCGGCGACAGGGACAATGGGGATAGGGTTGCAGAGGGCGACTTAAAGCCTGTGTTCCCTCCTGGGGACAACTTTTGGGATCGGTGCAGTGCGGTGCTGCAAGGTGCCTGTGCTCGGAGTCGCCTTGAAAGGCTGCTGAGAGCTGCCTGCCTCTGCTCGTGTGCAAGGTGCGAGTTTGGCATGGCAGGAACAGCAGCTGGAGCAGCAGCAGCGGCAGCACCAGCAACACCATCAGCAACAACAACAGCAGCAGCACCACGAACAGCAGTAGCACCACCAGAAGCAGCACCAGAAGCAGCAGCAGCAGCAGCAGCAGCAGCAGCAGCAGCAGCAGCAGCAGCAGCAGCAGCAGGGGGAGAAGCGTCGACACATGCATCTAGTCTCACCCCTCGCTCCACCGCAAAGCAATGTGGCAGAGGCATCACAAGAGCTGCAGCACCACCAGATGTGGCAGCAGAACCTGCAGCCACAGCAGAGGGAAACGGTAGAGGCTGCATAGGAGCAGCAGAGGCAGGAGCGGCCATAGCAGGAAGGGCTGCTGTTGCATTCCACGGTGCATCGAGCATGGCGATACAATCCATCCTTCGTCCGTGAAAACCGAGGCTGCTGCTGCTAGTCAAGACCCTGCCAGTGATAGCAGCACGCGGTGCTGCAGGAGCAGCAGGAGCAGCAGGAGAGGCAGGAGAAGCAGTAGCAGCAGCACAGCAGCAGCAGCATATGGGAGAGCAGTGTCAACAGGATCAGGGTTACCACGTAACCGCTTCCTCGCCTGACAAGCATCCATTTGCGATGAGTTGTTTATCTGAGAGATAAGAAGCCTTCGCTTTGTGCCAAAAGATGGTACAAAGGCGGGAGAGTAGTGAGCTTCGAATCCCGTTACGGGGTTGCGGATGGGGGGAAGGGACGACGATGGTAAGGGGGGACAAGCAGGTGGAATAGGATATGCGCTGAGATGTCAAGGTGGCTGAGTTGGCAGCTGCTGATTGGGCGGCAGCAGCAGCGTCTCAGGAAGCAGCGGACTGGGCAGAGGACAGGAAGGATGAGAGTGATTCGGAATATTAGTGAGCAGGGGGTTAGCAGGGGACACCACTGGCTCTTCAACTTGAAGTTCAAGAGCTCCACTCGGTGCTGCTACCGCAAGTGGACTCCCCTCCCCACTTTCCGTTAGCGCCGACCCTGCGTGACCCCGCGTGTCCAACTCGGACTCACTCAGCCATTGCTTCTCGGCGAATAAAGCCGGTTCAGGCTCTCGCAGGCCTTGGTTCTGTTGGTGTAAGGGCCTAATAAACTCAAGCTATTAGGACTTAATCAAACTTAAAACCTCTCCTCGGGGTCACCTCCAAGGGTCCCTGGGTGCCTGGTACAAGACCAGCCCCTATCCTCGGGTCCGAGTTTGTAGAGAGAGGGATCAAGAAGGACTTAGTCAAAACAGCAAGAGTACCTTGAACGTCGCGCAGCGTGCCGTGCAGACCGTCGATCGGATTAAGCTGAGAATTCGCTATATCGAAGCTCGCTCCAAGAGCTTTGAGTTGGTGTAAGGGCCTAATAAACTCAAGCTATTAGGACTTAATCAAACTTAAAACCTCTCCTCGGGGTCACCTCCAAGGGTCCCTGGGTGCCTGGTACAAGACCAGCCCCTATCCTCGGGTCCGAGTTTGTAGAGAGAGGGATCAAGAAGGACTTAGTCAAAACAGCAAGAGTACCTTGAACGTCGCGCAGCGTGCCGTGCAGACCGTCGATCGGATTAAGCTGAGAATTCGCTATATCGAAGCTCGCTCCAAGAGCTTTAAAATGAGCCAAGTTGCCTCGCGAAAAGTTCTGCCATTACTAAGTTATGGCTCGGACAGCGTTTGCCTAGCGTTGGAGTGCTAGCATACTAGCGTTGACTCGGGTAGCATTCCGTCGTCGAATAGCGCAGAAATGAAATTCCAGCGAGGAAGGAATTCGCATGAATCAATTTGACTATATTCAGGTACAAACAGAGAAGGATTAAATAGTTCTAGCTAGCAAGGACCTTGGGAATCAACCTGGGAACAACCAGGGATGATCCCAAATAATTCCAAGCAACAGAACCAACCTGGCTGGACAAAATAGCAGGTGGTAGGTTGGTAAACAACCTCTGGTTCTGTTTTTCCAACCTGGGAAAACAACAACCAGGTTCAGGTTCTAAAAACAGAACCTGTTTTGTCTTTGCCTAACCAGCCAAATGCTGGTTCCGCTGGTTTCCCCTGGCCTTGTAGCATGCAGATACAGACAAACAACATCCAACCTTCACCTAAATTGTACCCCTATAGTGCCTTCCCTGCTACACTATAGTTAACCAAACAAAACAGTACAATTTCGAGTTGGATAGAACTGAATCTGCGCAATCAACTCAACCGAACTGCAAAGCTTCCATCTTGGGTTCCTTTGCGAGCTCGTCCTTTCTGCTTGCACTGTTCATAGCGCGTACAATGTTGTGCCGAAGCGCACATTGCGCGAGTACCTGCAAATGCATCAAGCGAAAATTGCGAAAGCAAACAAACACACGAACATTCCATTCACACCCAAATGCATTCGCACACGCATACTCGTACAAACAGACGGCAGGATGTCGTGCAATGTAAATTTGCACCCAACACACTCCCCCTCAGCCTGCCGGCTGCTTCCCCATCATTCCATGCTAGTTCATGCTCATTCCACTCATGCGCACACAACGCCAATGAGGCTCATCCGCAAGCCTCTTGGTGAGAAAGTCTGCTGGCTGCTGGTGAGTCTTGATGTAGATTGGATTCACCGTCCCCCTCTTCACCTCCTTACGCAGCCAGTGCCACTTGATACACATGTGCTTGTTCAGCCCATGAAGCACAGCGTTTCTGGCCATCCCAAGAGCCCCCTTGCTATCACAAAACAGCGGCGTAGCAACTTTCTGCTCCTGGCCAATCTCCTCTAACAGCCTCCTCAGCCAAATCACCTCCTTCACCCCATGGAACATCGCCATGTACTCTGATTCTACGGAAGAGAGTGCCGTCTCCGTCTGCTTCTTGGACCTCCAACTAACAGGTCCTCCCCCAACTACGCAGATGTATCCTCCCACAGATGAGGAATCCTCCTTCTTAGAAGCCCACGTAGCATCGGTAAAGCAAGTGAGAAATAGCTTGCCTTCTCCAAGCCTCTCCCCCTTCTCTTTCAGCACCTCCACCCCTTTCTGCTTCACCTGTGCAGATGCGGAGTATTGAACTCCAATGCTTGGGTGAGAGTTCAGGTACTTCACCACACGCTCAGCTGCATCCACCTGCTCCTCTGATGGATTCTGCACCACCCTAGCCAGCTGCCCAACCGAGAAAGAGATGTCGGGCCTCGTGTGAACTGCTGCGTACAAGAGGCTGCCCACCAAGGACTGAAATTGCTGCTGCTCTTCAGCTTCAACCCCTTCATCCTCTGCAGCCTTCACAAGCTTGAATTCTGCTGGCAGGGGAGTTGCAACCTTGCGCTCATTCTCAATCCCATACTTCTCCCCCAGCTCCTTGATGAACTTCTCCTGGTGCAGCTTCAACCACCTGTGATCTGGATCCCTCTCCACGTGCATCCCGAGGTAGTACTTTACCTCCCCAAGGTTCTTGCACTTGAAGTTTTCCATCAGTTGCTGCTGCACTTTCTGGATCTCCTTCATGCTGCTGCTGAAGAGAAGAATGTCGTCCACATAGACCAGAAACAGCACCAGCTTCTCCCCCTCGCCCTTGAGAAAGAGGCTCTCATCACAGCTGCTGGTCCTGAATCCAATCTCCTCTAAAACAGCTGCCAACTTCTGGTACCAGCAGCGTGGCGCCTGCTTCAAGCCGTAGATGGACTTGTTGAGCTTGCACACCCTGCCCGTACCATCCTCATACCCAGGCGGCTGCGTCATGTACACATCCTCCTCTAAAATCCCATTCAGGAATGCCGTTGAAATATCCATCTGAATGATGAATTTCCCACTAACAGCTGCATCTGCCAACAAGACACGGAGGGTAGGGGGTTTGGCAGTGGGAGCAAAGATCTCGTTGAAGTCCTGCTTCTCCTTCTGCATAAACCCCTTCGCCACCAGCCTACTCTTGTAGATGGTGACCTGTCCCTTGTCATCGGTCTTGATCCTCAGCACCCACTTGCATTGTATCGCTTTCTTCCCATCAGGCAGCACCACCAGATCCCATGTCCTATTCTCCAGCAGACTCTGGTACTCAGCATCCCTAGAAGCCAGCCACTTGTCCCTATCTGGTCCAGCTAATGCCTCCTCCATGCTAGCTGGTTCCTCTGGTGCAGGGGCAAGAAAACAGTACGCAGGCTCATCCTCCTCATCCGGGTCATAGCCATGAGGTAGAATCAGCAATGCCTCTTCGGTCCCTAGCTGCTGCTCTGCTGCATCAGTTCCTGCAGTCAGCTTCTTAGTAGCCATACGGGTACGTCCTGGCCTGGAGACGGGTGTCTCCCATCCCTTCATAACGACACCCTTCAGCTTCTTAGTTTTTTTCTGCTGCTTCTCTCCTCCCTCGGGTCCAGCAGCTCCACTAGTGCTGCCGCCAGTTTCCACACCATTTTCTCCACCAGCAGATGCCTCCTGTATCTTCTCTCCATCACCATTTCCAGCAGCTGCCTCCTCTCCCTCCTCCCACACACTAGGAGTCAGGTCCAGCTGCATGGTGATCTGCTCCATCTGCTGGGACACCCTTGCCTCCGGCTGTTTCTCCCAGCTCCCATACATCATGCCCTCAATGAATTTCACATCCCTGCTGTCAAACAACACACCCTTGGATGGTTCCCACAGCAGCCATCCCTTGCTCTCAGCAGCCAGCCCCAAATGCACACACCAGATTGCGCTCGCCCCCAACTTACTGCGGTAGGGCTTGGGGACGTGGGCGACTGCCATGCAACCGAACACCCTCAGCATGTCCACCGGCGGCTTCCTCCCAAGCCACCTCTCCAAAGGCACCCACGAGTCATCCCCAACCTTGGTGAGCACCCTGTTCCTAGCGACAGTGGCGTGCCGGACAGCATGAGGCCACATAGAATTGCTCAGCCCAGATTCTATGAGCAGCGCCCTAGCTGTCTCCAGAATGGTCCGGTTTGCCCGTTCTGCTACACCATTGGACTGTGGGGTATAAGCCGTGGTCAGCTCTCTCTGGATGCCCTGCTTCTTGAGCCAGGCCGTCATTTCAGCTCCAAGGAACTCACCACCCCGGTCTGTCCTAATCCGCTTCACTACACACTCCGCCTGCTTCTCCACGAATGGCAGCCAATCGTCCCGTATCGTGGAGGCGGCGTGGTCCTTCTGCTTCAGCGGATACGCCCACATCAGTCTGCTCCAGTCATCCACAATTGTAAGAAAATACCGCTCCCCCTTGTGCCCTTGCACCGGCAGCGGCCCCACCAAGTCCATGTGGACCAGCTCCAAAGGCTTCTTGCTCCTGCCAGCCACACTATGGAAAGGGAAACGGGTGAACTTTGAAAGCAAACAGATTTCACAGTTGTCATCGGGTGGCTGTCCGTTCAGCTTCAGACCCTTAACGGCTCCATCCTTCTCCAGCTGCTTCAGCAAAGGCATTGCCACATGCCCTAAGCGTCG